TTATTTTAAAATAAACATTTTCAAAGGAACGGAGAGACTTATACGATTTAAAACAAGAAAATTAAAATAATATAGTATTTGAGTACAAAAATGAAAAGTTACCTATCAACTACTAATTGAAAAACAATGCATACTACTGTCTTATCTCGACTTCCATAGCTATTCCAGCATTCATTGTCATCCGTGCGCAGATGCTTTACCTTTACCTGAAAAATAAGACTAACACGTGACTTGAGTATTTTAAAAAATTGTGATATCCCACGTTGGTTGGGGAAGAGAACAAACCACTATTTATAAGAGTGTGGAAACCTTCCCCTAACAGACGCATTTTAAAGGCTTGAGGGGAAGCCCAAAGAGAACAATATCTGCTAGCGGTGGATCTGGGTCGTTACAAATGGTATCAGAGCCAGACACCGGACGATGTGCCAACCTTCTCGCTCCTCCCCGAAGGGGGTAGACAAGAGGCGGTGTGCTAGTAAGGACGCTGGGCCCCAAGGATGATAGATTTGGGGACGGTTCCACATCGATTGGAGGAAGGAAAAAGTGCCAGCGAGGACGCTAGGTCCCGAAGGGAGGTGGATTGTAATGTCCCACATTGATTGGAGAGGAGAACAAACCACTTGAGGGGAAGCTCGAAAGGGAAAAGCTCAAAGAGGGCAATATCTGCTAGCGGTAGATCTGGGCCGTTATAGAAATATTCGAAAACTCATATCACTCTTAGAAGCGATGAGTAACATGATTATGTCAAAAGGGATGTCGAAGTCGTTAGATACCGAATTCAGATCCCGAAGCTAGAGAGAGAAAGAGAAATTAGGAGAGACAATCCATGATAGAAGGACCATGATACATGTCTTCTCAACGGAGGGCTCAGTCCCAATCATAGAAAAATCCCTTTTATTTTATTTATCCCCACACCCATCACCCCTTCACATGACTTTAAGAGTGTTGACCCCTATTTTCATCAACTTTGTTCCCTAACAATTATGTTTTAGGGTTTTTGTTTATTTATGCAACAATTCATCAAACAAAATAAAATTTTTACGGTCAAATTATAAATTTAGCTCGAGTCGGTAATTTATATATGGTTTCAGTTTTACTTTTTTGATTTTAACTCTTTCCGTTTCATCTTTATCGTTCGAGTTTAGTTTCAATTTAGTGTTTTTAGTTTCATTAAATTACACGTCTCGTCTCTAAATTGTCTTTTACCGACTCAAAAGACTCCTAAGTTTATTATTTTTTTTCTTTTTACTTAATTTAAAATCTTAATACGGTCTACCCGTACAATTAGCTAAATAGAAAACTTTGCCTAGTTAAAAAGTAGGAGGGTGCACAAGGTTGAATTGGTGACTCGAGCAAACCGAATAAAGTTGACAACCCAACCTAACTCAATCATCTATGTCTGAGTTGAGTTGAGCCGAGCTACAGATTTTTTTAACTTTTAAAAAATCGTACTTATCCACAATACATATTACATTAATAATTAAAATCTTATGCAGTTCAAATATCAAACATTTTCAAGTTACAACGCATTACTAACATCAGTGACAAACGTTAAATAGTCTTAACCGAATCGAATTTTTGGTTTTTCAAAAATTCAACGCTAACCCATATTGAAAAAAACCTAACCGAACTAATTTATATGTTTTGTGTTGGGTAATCGAGATTAGATGAACAACTCTAAAAAAGATTACTAACATATTTACAAAGGATTTCTACGAAACTATGTCATCAAAATCAAATAAAACAGTTTTTAAAAAAGAGTTTTTTTAATTTTTGTAACTGCGTCAGTTCATCGCTAGTAGATATTGTCCGCTTTGGTTCGTTACGTATTGTCGTCAACCTCACAGTTTTAAAACATGTCTGCTCGTTAGAGGTTTTCTTATCCTTATAAAGAATGTTTCGTTCCCTCTCCCGTCGGCGTAGAATCTCATATATATTTATTATCATGGCACAATGCCTACCTACATTGCCTCATCATATATCTTTTTTTGCTTGGTCAAGTCAACTTACGTGCATCCGAACTAACCTAATAAAATAGTTATTAAAAATCTCGTACGATTTTAATAATTTGAATAATTGATATCTTATCCACCGTTAGTTATGGTCTAATGCTAGCTATTTCTTGATAGTACGTGTGATTTTTATCCACTATATGTTCTCAATTGTATTTTTGATAAATCTGGAGGTAGTTCGGTACACAAAATCACCCATTACTATTTCAAATTTTTAGAGTCGAGTAAACGAGAAGTACATAATGAATCGAGATCACATTCGAATGAGAGCGATCCTGAGGATATGATGGCTAAGAAAGGCTTGACGAATTGAAAATTACTACTTATACCAACAAGGTGTACCTTCCTTTTGGTAACTCAATCATACGAACTCCAAAGTTAAGTGTGTTTTTCTTAGAGTAATTTTACGTTGGACGACCTAAAAATTCTTCAAGTAAGCATACGAATAACGACAAAACATGTTGAAAGAACTGTATTAGTTTATGGAGATAGACCGATAGTTTTCACTCTTAAAAGCAATGAGTAAATAACATGAACATGTCGTAAGGAAATGTCAGACCAAAAAATCAACCCCAGGGTCAATAAACCTTCATAGGGTCTTTCTGTCAAGGTGTAAGTAGTCTGCATCTTCACATTCACCGAGCCTCTTTCCGAGACAGTGCCCAGATTGTTACATCTTTCGTGCAGGTCGAAACTTACCCGACAATGAATTTCGCTCAACTCAACACAAAAATTTTATGGTTGGGTTCGATTCATAATTTAATAAAGGTTGTTTCGATTGAAAAAAATTTACTTCGAACTCAGAACCCGACGTATTAATAACATGTTTGGGCGATTGGGTCCCACGTCCCCATTTGATTTGATATTTTATTGTAGGAGGTATATGTAACATGAATAATGGGGCTTCCCTCCAATAATTTAATTGAGGGAGTTTTTGTTTGCCTTTGTTTGGTTGTGTTTCCATGGACTACTTGTTCAAATCAACCCTACATCAACCTCTCTCTCCTCCTTTTTTTTAATATTAAATCTCGAGAATCGAAAAACCAAATAGTTATTGATGATATCTTATGTTTTCGACTCGTTAAGATACAATTATCCATTAACATATAACATTATTCTTTCGAGATATGTTCTGTATTTGTAACGATCCTACTTTTTATTTTAAAATAAGACTGTTATTGCGTGCATGTCATGACTCTTATGTGCGGAAAACTATCTAATGTGACTTTATTCTATGATCTATTTAGCTGGTATCGTCATCCGTACTGAGGTCATGGTCTTTACTTGAAAAAACAATAGACATAAGATGATTATTTAAGTAAATGACCTCGTTGTTGGGATCGAGAAATGCAACCATGATTGTATTTTGGGCTTTACTTTCTTTTTTAGGAAAAGTTGGATGTATTTTCGCTATACACGGTTTACACACACGGACATGAACCCACTAGGTAGGCTTGTATACGTACCCATCAGACTTGACTATGGGCTACCACACACTAATGTTGCTGAAAACCACCAGAAAAGAAGGGAACGCATACAATCTCATAGTCTACACATTAAAAAAGTAATTCATGTTTTTGTGACATACCACATGTATGAGGTCTCACATTACGAATCATGACTGAATGTGACGGTCCAGATCTACCGCTAGCCGATAATGTCTTCTTTGGGCTTTCCTTTTTGGGCTTCCTCTCAAGGTTTTAAAACGCGTCTGCCAGGAGAAGGTTTCCAAAGCTCACTGTGATGTCCCACGTTATAAGGGTGTGGAAACCTTCCCCTAGTAGACGCGTTTTAAAGCTTTGAAGGGAAGCTCGAAAGGGAAAGCCCAAAGAGGACAATATCTGGTAGCGGTGGATCTGGGTCAGTATACTGAATGAGTTACTGCACATAATAATCTTAAAACCAAAACCGAGAAAAATCTAACCTAACCCAACATTTATGGGCTGGGCTGAGTAGTCCGAATTGGTTAGATTCTCAAGTCATTTGAAGATGGGGTTCGAACGATTTGGTTGAAATTGGACGGAAAAGAAAAAGAAGAAAAGAAATAGGGGTAGCATGGGCATATGTGATGGGGCCTAGTTGTTTTGTTCATACACATTGAAATGATGTTTAGGCAAGGCAAGAGATTGGTCATTTTTTTCATTCTCACATGGTTGCTTCCTTTACATTATCTTCCTTCTCTCTTGCACATGGAAAGAATCTCTCTCTCTCTCTCCTTAACATTTTTTCACATGACTTTAAGGGATTATTGTCTCGTTGTCTCGGACCTCGATGTAACAGCTCAAGGTCATTCTTAGCTGATATCATCCTCTTTAGGCTTTTCCTTTTGAGCTTCTCCTCAAAGTTTTTAAAACGCGTTTATAAGGAGAATTTCTACACCGTTAAAAAGAATGTTTTGTTCCTCTCTCTAGAGATGAGATCCCATGATCCACCCCCTCCTCCTTCGGGGCTCAACGTTCTTGTTGGCACTTGTTACTTTCTCCAATCGATGTAGAATCTCACATCTAAGATACCATTTTTACGAACCATACAAACCCAGAAATCACCTGAAAAAAGAATAACAAGAATGAATAGGGGAAGATATTGTTCTGAATATGATTTAAACTTTACCTCATTTATCGCTTATTAGATTAGAGACGTTCCCATGGAGAGGCAGGGACGAGAAAGCTTTCCAATTCCTACTCGTATTTCAATCTTCATCTCGACATGATTTTTCATGGAATTAGATTCAACGGGTAAGGATAGGTTTCCACACCCTTATAAAAAAATGTTTCATTCCCCTGTCTAACTGACGTAAGATCTCACGTATTGTATTAAATATAGAGATATAATATATATATATATGCATCATAATCATTCATTTCCCAAAATCCATGTAAAAAAATGGGGAATTTAGGAGAGAAAATCCAAAAGACAGAACCTGAATATACTGAAATAATATACTAATAAAGCATCTTGTCCCATGATACATACACTAACACTCTCTGCTTCCATCGCCCTTTCCCCTTTTCCCCTTTCCCACCAAAAAAACACACTCACAATGTCATTTTCTCTGTTCTTTTTCATCTTCCTCTTGATCGATTTCATGTGGGTATCAACATATCCTCCATTGCTCCTCCAGGTTCTCTTCTAATCCTCTCTTTCTCTCTTCTTCTTTGTCGTTTGATTGTCTTTTTGGGGTTTCCCATGTTGTCTTGTCTGGAATGTTCCTCGGATTACTCTGTTTCATCGACTGTTTTGTTGGGGGGTTTTGTAAATCTGTTCTCCCTTTGATGGGTTTTCTTAGAAATTCTCTGTTTATTGAACTGATTTATGTGGGAAACTGAGAAGCTTCGTTGAAATGTGTTTCTTGTAGAGTTTTGAGTAAAAGGGAAGATCTCAAAAGGGGTTTTTCATGGCCTTTTTGTGTTGTTATCTCTCCATTTTTCTTGGAATTCTTTTCAACTCCCAGTTTCTGGGGGCTGTTCTTGATGATGAAATCACCATGTCCGCCATTAGAGAGGAGCTTCAAGTTCTTGAGTGGAGCTCCAACATCTCTGAGTACTGTTCTTGGAAGGGTGTTCATTGTGGTTTGAACCATTCCATGGTTGAAGCTCTTGATCTTTCAGGTCATTCTCTTAGAGGTATTCCAACACTGATTTCTAAGCTCAAAGCTCTGAAATGGCTTGATCTATCCTACAATGACTTCCACGGCGACGTCCCGTCGAGTTTCGCAACCTTATCCGAGCTCGAATTCCTTGATTTGTCTTTGAATAAGTTTGATGGTTCGATCCCGCCCGAGTTTGGTGGTCTCAAGAACCTCAAATCATTGAACCTTTCCAATAATCTTCTTGTGGGAGAAATTCCTAATGAGCTTCAAGGATTAGAGAAATTGGAGGATTTTCAAGTTTCTAGCAATAGGTTGAATGGTTCAATTCCAAGTTGGGTTGGAAATTTGAGCCATCTAAGAGTTTTTACAGCTTATGAGAATGACTTTGTTGGTGTAATTCCTGATAATCTCGGTTCGGTTTCCGAGCTCCATGTGTTGAATCTTCATACCAATAGGCTTGAAGGCTCGATTCCTCGAAGTATTTTCGGTTCGGGGAAGCTTGAGATTTTGGTTCTTACACAAAACAGATTGACTGGCCAGCTTCCTGAAGAGATAGGTAACTGTAAAAGCCTTACGAGCGTTCGAATCGGGAACAATGATCTCATTGGTTCGATACCTCCAGCCATTGGCAATGTCAGTAGCCTTGCTTACTTTGAAGTGGATAACAATCACCTTTCGGGCGACATTACGTCTCGGATTTCACGGTGCTCGAATCTCACTCTGCTGAATCTAGCATCAAACGAGTTCACCGGGGTGATTCCTCGTGAACTCGGAGAGCTGATGAATCTGCAGGAGCTTATTCTTTCCGGTAATAGCTTGTATGGCGACATTCCTAGATCGATGCTCCGGTGCAAGAATCTCAACAAGCTCGATTTAAGCAGCAATCGATTCAATGGTACTATTCCTTCAGATATCTGCAATATATCAAGATTGCAGTACTTACTTTTGGAACAGAACTCAATAAAAGGAGAGATACCTAAAGAGATTGGAAAATGTACAAAGCTTCTCGACTTACGACTCGGTAGTAACTACCTAACTGGAAGCGTCCCTTCCGAGATCGGTCGTATTAAGAACTTACAGATAGCTTTGAACTTGAGCTTCAATCATCTAAACGGACCGGTGCCTACGGAGTTGGGGGAACTTGATAAACTGGTTTCTTTAGATTTATCGAACAATCGTCTCTCGGGCGATATCCCGTATGAGCTTAAGGGCATGTTAAGCTTGATAGACGTGAATTTTTCGAATAATTTACTTACTGGTTCGATTCCTTTCTTTGTTCCATTCCAGAAAACTGCAAGTTCCAGTTTTCTGGGAAACAAAGGCCTTTGCGGGGCTCCATTAAGCGTTACGTGTAAAAAATCGATTGGTTCGTACACTCGAGATTACCATCAAAAGGTCTCGTACAAGATCATACTAGCTGTCATCGGTTCCGGGCTGGCTGCTTTCGTATCGGTTAGTATAGTTGTTTTACTTTTTGTGATGAAAGAAAAGCAGGAAAAGGCAGGAAAGTCTTCAAGAGCTGTAGATGATGAAATCATCAAGGATCAACCGACCATAATAGCCGGGAATGTCTTTGACGATAATCTCCGACAGGAGCTAGATCTCGACGCGGCCGTGAAAGCGACGTTTAAGGATTCAAACAAGCTCATATTTGGGACTTTTAGTACTGTTTATAAGGCGGTCTTGCCTTCGGGGATGATCGTATCGGTTAAGAGACTAAAATCGATGGATAAGACGATCGTTCATCATCAAAGTAAGATGATCAGAGAGCTCGAAAGGCTTGGCAAACTGAGCCATGCTAATCTTATGCAACTCATTGGGTATGTTATATACGAAGACGTGGCTCTGTTGCTTCATCGTTACTTACCGAACGGGACATTGGCTCGGCTTCTTCACGAGTATACGAAGCAACCTGAATATGAACCCGATTGGCCCACGAGATTTTCGATCGCCGTTGGAGCAGCCGAAGGGCTAGCTTTCCTTCATCATGTGGCTATAATCCATCTTGATATTTCATCATCCAATATTCTTTTGGATGCAAACTTCAAGCCTTTGGTTGGAGAGGTTGAGATATCAAAACTTTTAGATCCATCAAGAGGCACTGCTAGTATTAGTGCCATTGCAGGTTCATTTGGTTATATTCCACCAGGTACTTGCTCGAATCGAACTGTCTTTTAAGTTTTCGATTCTAGGTTCTAACTGTTTGTTCTCGGTTCAGAATATGCGTATACGATGCAAGTTACGGCCCCGGGAAATGTTTATAGCTACGGTGTCGTTTTGCTCGAGATCCTCACAACTAGAATGCCAGTGGATGAGGAGTTTGGTGAAGGAGTAGATTTGGTGAAGTGGGTGCTTAGTGCTCCTTCACGAGGCGAGACACCTGAACAGATACTCGATTCCCGGCTGAGCACGGTGTCGTTCGGGTGGAGGAAGGAGATGCTTGCAGCTCTCAAGATTGCATTGCTCTGCACTGATAGCGTACCAGCCAAAAGGCCAAAAATGAAGAAAGTGGTGGAAATGCTTATGGAGATCAAGCAAAATTGATGGGCTCCTGTGTTCGTGTAGAGTTTTCGACGTGCTTGATGCGAAAAACGACTCGAAATGGAGATTGAGCTCGGGTCCTCTAAAGCAATTGCTTTGTGAGTGACCATACATGACTGTGTAGTCTGGTTGTTTTCTGATCACAACCAACCAGATTTGTGACGAAGGAAAGTATATCATTACATAATGGTTCTTGTGTAATCCCGTTTGAGTTGAACACAGATAGTTGGGAGTTGTAAGGAATACTTCCACGCCTTTAAGGAAATGCTAAATGTCCACACCCTTGTAAGAAATGCTTCGTTTCCTGTGATATTTCATCAATCCATTCCCTCGTTTCCTTGGGGGGCCAATAGATCCACCTTCTTGGGGGCTAGCGCTCTCGCTTGTGTCACAACCTCACTAGAGAAAGTAGGTTGTGACCCCCACACGTCAAGATAAACAAGGGGCGACTTTCAAGTGATGTCCATCCGGTCATGTATGGAGCAAGATTGAGAAGTGTCATGATGCGCTCGAGGAGGACGGTGCATCATCCAACACACCAAGAGTGTGCATTGAAGATATGTCGAGACATACACTAAGTTTGAGAGAACGAAGCGATACAAGTGTCAAAAACAAGCGCGAAGAAGGTCGAGTAGGGCCCGAGCCATTACTTCATAAGTTGGGGTTTCAACATGAATTTCGACATGCGGCTTGAGAATTTAGTCTGTCTATATAAAAGATGAAAGCTCACCAAATTTGGTGTCAACCGAAAAATCAATGGACTATGCACGAAGTCGTATGTCTGCTTGCCAAAAAGACGTCTATTCGAGAAGGATTGAAAATGCCTCAAAATGTACTGCAAGGAGTGGCATGGTGCTGACTCTCCCTCCATCACTCCTATGCCTTATGGCCTAAGTGAGTTACCCTGTGACACATGCATGTGTTGAGTTACCCTATGACACATGCATTTGTCACGGACAATACAGGTGTGCTGGTATTTCACTCCAACTCATGTGTCAAATGTTGGATTATGCACCCATGTAACAGTCCAAGCCTACCACCCGTAGATATGTCATATTTGGGCTTTCCCTTCTCAGCTTCCCCTCAAAGTTTTCTAAAACGTCTACTAGGGAGTGGTTTCCATGCCTTTACAAAGAATGCTTTGTTTCCCCCCTTTAATCGAGGTGAGATCTTACAATCATACCGCTCTAGAAAGCGATCTAACTATGGAGAAGGATCTTATAAATCAAAGTAAATATATAAGAAGAGTGATCATTCTACATCATCTGAAAGAGAGACACGAAGGAAAGTTTCCTTTTTCACTGATTTATTCAGAATCAACATCCTGACACCATCAACATAACAAACAAGCCAATGATGCAACTTAAACGGGAAAAATAAAAAAAAAAGGCTATCAGCTCAACAACAATTCCTTCAGTTCCCCACATCAAATACGAAGGCAGGTTAGAACTGCTTAACGACTAAGAAGTACTTCCAAAAGCAGAATTACCCAATCAAAATTGTATAAATAGACAACCAAAGCAACATTTTAAGCTTCAGAGCGGGTTTTGACAATGAAATTCTGGCGGCTGATGGGGTTCATGACCACAGGTGGGCCGGCGGTACGAGGCCATGCTTGGAATTTCTTGTCAGTTTCTTCCCACCACTCGCTGTTTAAAACAGTAGTTGGGGTTGTTCCTGAGCAAGCAATCCATTGAAAAGAGCAAGAAATTAAGAGAATAGAGCAAGAAACTGCAAAGCCAAATGATGAGGACCACGATTGTTACCTCCAAATATTTTCTTGTCAGCAACAAGAATATGAGAAATATAAGCAAATGCAAATGCTCCAAGTGTAGAAACTACTATGTATTTTGCTGCCATCTTCTAACTGCAATGGACTAATATGTTCCCAAATCAAATCAACCATATCATACGCAGAATTACATCAAGGGTTATAAGTTAGAAATAGATTTAACCAGAAAACTTTTAGCGCGTAGTGTTAGGAATTACGACTCGTAGAGTTAGGAATTAGGAATTACGAATTACGAATTACGACTCTCCATAATGGTATAATATTGTCCACTTTGGGCATAAGCTCTCTTTTGGTTTTCCCAAAAGACCTCTCCACAATGGTATAATATTGTCCACTTTTAGTATAAGCTCTCTTTTGGTTTTCCCAAAAAACCTCATACCAATAGAGATAGTATTCCTTAGTTATAATATAAACAATGATTAACCTCTAAATTAGTCTAGAGATAGTATTCCTTACTTATAATATAAACAATGATTAACCTCTAAATTAGTCAATATGGGACTTCCTCCCAATAATCCTCTCGAAAAAAGTACACCATAGAGCCTCCTCTGAAACTTGAAAAGCCTCCGAAGAGACTCCTTTTAATTGAGGCTTGACTCAAGTACACCATTTGTTCGACACTTGAGTCACTTTTTTACTATACCTTCGAGGCTCACAACTTCTTTGTTCTGAGATTTGAGGATTCTACTTACCTGGCTAAATTATGGGCATGGCACTGATACAATGTTAAGAATTACGGATCTCTACAATGGTATGATATTGTCCATTTTAAGCAAAAGCTCTCGTGGCTTTGCTTTTGGTTTTCCCAAAAGGCCTCGCGGAGATAGTATTTCTTGTTTATAAATCCATGATCAACCTTTAAATTAGCCAATGTGGAACTCCCTCCCAACCATCTTCGACGTATAGAACCCTTGAAAGGCTATAAGTTTGGGAAGAATCAATCTGAAGCCATTTCAGGACACAATCTCCCAATTTATCAAACCAAACCCCATAGAATTGGATTGGATCGTGATAAGTTTTTGTCAAAAGTAATTCAGCAAGAAAATTCACAATTACAGCCAAAGCAACCATGAATAAATCATCAAATATTCAAAAATTATGCACATGAACATTAAGCAAATCGCATTGCAACAAAACCGAAAAGAAGAAAACTAGAGAACGCAAAGGAATCAAATTAAAACACGTAAAAAAAAGACATAGGAGTGACCTAATAACAATGATCAATTATAGCACGAACATATGCCTCCATTTTTCACAATTCTACGAAACGCTAGAATTACTAAGACACGTTTGAACAGCCTCCACCATGAAATTCCATTTAAAATGAGCACAGAAGCCAAGATTGAGAGAAAGACAGAGACACAGACATACCGATTGAGCTGCAGAATCAACGAACCGTCAGATTGATTCGATTTTCCAAGCGATGAACCTCAGAGGGAGACAGAGAGATTGGGAAACAGGAAGAAGATCGACGGGGAAGGAGGAGAGATCGGCAGCAGGGCGTGCCGTAGATGTGATGAGGAGATGAGAATGAGTCAAGAATTTTGAATCCAAAAATTGTGAAAAGAAGCTCTGAAGATTGAAGTTGGAGCAATCGACAGTTTAAAATGCAGAAATTATGGAAAAAAATTACTAATATTTCACAATTTTCTATTTTTGGCTGTTTTTTTTTTCACTATTTTTATTCCACTTTTACCATTTTATTATTGGAACGTTTTTATATTTCTTATATTTTTTTTTTTTAATTTCATTTTTCCATGTTTAGACATTCATTGAACGTATATTAATTTCTGTTTTTGGTGTAATTTATATATTTTTTAAAAGGGTTAATATATGGGTAGAAACATTGAACATCTCGTTTAAAAAAAAATTATTTGAGCTGTGAGTCAAGTCGAGCCGTTTAAGCCGAATGAGCTGAGGGATATGTGTGACATGAATGATATGATATGATTGACAAATACGACCCCCGCATATGCATGAAAGTTATGATAAATGATATGATATAAAGAAGATACTAGTGGGGTTGCATTAAATGATAATGAAAATGGAAAAATGTTGAAACTTCATACATTGTTGTGTGCACAAGTATCGAGCTTCACGATAGTACGGACTCGATGGTCACTACTTCTAACGGGTGTCCGACATCAATAACGACTAGAGAATGCTTACCCGACTAGAAAGCGAGAATCGACTGGTAGGTCCATACTCGCACGTGTGGACCATGTGTAGGGAAATTAAGTACACATCCAAATTGCCCGTTAGGATAGCCGCCGTAAGAGATAGGTCCCATACATGTAATTGTATGTGTTTGCATTTAACCCCGATACAGAGATTGCTTACTAAGTATTTCTTAAAATACTCAAGTCATGTGCTACTCTATTTTTCAGGTAAAACGAAGGCTCCCTTGTACGGCTGACGGTGGCATTGCAACTACGAGATTGTGGCACATGTGTAGGGTAGTTTCGTAATTTGAATTTAGGAGACTATGGGTTAGTTACATTTCCATTTAGTAGCATATAGGTTAGTATAGGGCATTTCATTTTATGTTATTTCTCTTTTTATTTCCGTTTGTATTAGTTGGTACATAAGCCTTAGATGAAACATGCAAGACCAAGGTTAATTTTATTATGGTTTCAAATGAATTATTTATTCCTAAAATGTTTATGATATGTATACATTAGCAAGAATAAAGATAATAGTTTTCATTCTTAGAAGCGAGTAAGAGGAGTAGTAATGCGACAATGTTGCAGAGGATGCAAGGAAATGTCGTGTCACACAAGTAACAAATGGTAATTTTAATCTTCGACATGAGATATTACATATTAACAAGAGAGAATAATAGATAAAAAAGAGATACATCGAGAATTTTGGTCACAATTTTGGTCACAATTTTGGGGACAACCAATAGAAGAGAGAATAAAGAAAACATGTACATTACCAAATTTGGGATGATAAAAACTTCCGCTTAGATTAATATATTTGTTGTGACCAGTTTAGAATGTTCCTCGTGATTGGATATTATATTCTTTTGCGACTTGTTTTATCTAAAAATTTATCATTTTGTAGGTAGGATCTCATGCATTTGCTCATAAAAATTTAGAAAATATTGAAACAAATTTCCCATTTCGTTTCACAAAAGTAATAATTAATATGATAGAATCAGTGTATCCAAAAGTGATACAAACTTATAAAGAGGTATAGTATGATTTATCATACACTTACAAAAAAGAAACAAAATATTCCTAATAAGAGTGTAGAAACCTCTCTCTAACGTTTTAAAATCGTGAGACTAACAACAATACGTAGACCAAAACGAACAATATTTAATAGAAGTGAGCTTAGACCGTTACAAATGTTAGCAGAGCCAATAAGTGTGCTAGTGAGAACACTAGATCCCTAAGGGGGTGAATTGTGAAATCCCACGTCAACTTTTTAAATTGTGAAGCTAATGATAATACATAACGACATATATCTTCTATATGGTACATGAAAGTGAGTCCACCTAAAACATTTGGTTCACGTGAAAGTGATATATAGAATTATGTACATAAAAGTCCGAGGTTTTGTCACTATAACCATGTTAGCATAAGATTATGATAAAAAAGCAAAGTTTTATAGATGAATTAGGTAACAAGTTTACACAAAAATGAATAAAACATTTCAAATCAAATCACAAAATGACCCAATTCAAAAAGATCTTGAAAATTTTGTTTAAACATTTTTTTTGTAAAAATATTTATACAAAAAAAAGGGGGATATGAAGAACATTAATACAAAAGAAATTACCTAACTATCAAACAAGCATATTCTTCTGTACGCACATAACAAAATGAGTTCAAACAAAAAGACATTCTTCAAAAATCCAAAATTTTCAACCAGTAATTTAATACAAATTAAAAGTCCAAATAAAGAAGGCCCTTTGCGTAGAAACCCTAAATTAGAATACTAAAATTGTTTGACAATCCAAATAAAGTTCAAACATTGTACCCTAGAATCGAACTGAGATGACATGCCAGTAACCAAGAGAGGGAAAATTGATAAGAGACATCATTCTATATCTAGAGTGTGTAATGAGAAGGATAATCAAATCACCAGTAGCTGCAACACAGAGAACAAAAAGATCGGGACGATGTCCTCAACGCAATCTCCTTGCTTCTCTCTCAGACTCCAGAAGGGTAAGAATGTCACCTTCCCTTACAGGTCCCTTGACATTCCTCATGATGTAACGATTCTGATCATCAAGAAACTTGACTCTCACTTGAGTCACCTGCCCTCTCGATCCAGTTCGGCCCATTACTTTGACCACCAGAGCATGTTTGATCTGGGATTCCATTTCTTAAATGAATAGAGGTACGATCTGAGAGATACCTGGAAATTACAGACATAAATAAGTCCTTTCAAGTTATACATTTAATATATTACAGATTACACATAGCAACTACAATGGATCAGGCTGAAGAAAAATCAAAAAGTGCATTCATCCGAATGTATGCCAGGAGAATATTTCTCAACCACAAACTAAAATAGTAATCTTTAAATCAACTTCTAGAGGCATGCATCACCACCTAATGGAAAATGCTAGACAGAAAAATAAGCATCACCACCTAGTAGTTCCTTAGAATTAATCAGAGAAATCCTAACCATCTCAAGCCAATCATGAGGCCTCCTATAGGCCATCTTGGGGCACAAAGTTCCAAAGAATTCAAGTACCGATGGACTTGGGAACTAGGAAGCGTAGGTACAACAGACATGGTAAAAAAATCCGTGTGTTAAGAGAAGCCCTATAAAAATTCTTTGGTTGAAATGGTTCTTTGATTGGCGGCCAGGGTAGTCATATTGAACACTTACTATGCACTTTTCAATCAACGAGACACAAAGGTAAGTTGAACGCCAATAAGGCAATTCTGAGGGAGATCTAACACGGCTTCTACTTGGTATGCATCCTCATAACTCTTGTTGAATCACAATTCTCATTTTATAAATGTCATCTGGAGTCATTTATCAAGATTCTATTAGCTCTAGGGCTTCAGGATTTCCAGTTTTTTCATATATTTTATCATAGTTGATAAAATTTATAGTCTGCAATATTAAGACTTGAGATTTGTTCTTCATTCTACTAACAATCAAGCGATAATCTAAAATCAGCCTGAAGCAGGCAAAATCCTAATCTAATAATGCTTTGCTACACTTTCCGGAGCTTTACACGTAACTTCTACCGAGTCCTTAGCTCGACTTCTCTCTTTCCTTCAATAATTTTACACTGATTTATCCCCAATCTCCAAATATTCGAGTTGATATGCACTATAAAACCCTAGTATAGCTATGCTCAACATCTCTCTCTTTCGCTAACCTAACTTTAGTTTCACATTATCAAGTACTAATTACAAACCACCGACAAACTCCGAACGAATTAAAATCTCCGAGTCAAATTCCAAACATTGGATGACGATAACAATCTCGGCGTACAAAAGAAAGAATAAATTCAAAAGCCAGTAATCGACAATCAACAGTCACTACATAAAGTAGCAACGCATTAAGCAAACATATAATAGAATGGGAACTCATATTGAAAAATGGATCACAAAAGGAAAAAAGAAAAACATAAAACCAAAGCAATTCTTCTTCTTCAACTCCACAGAAACGAAAAAACAAAACAGATTAAAAACATAAACTACAAAGACTTAAAGAAACTAACCAGCGGCCAACGATTTGAAAGCGTTCGGATTCAGAATCCCACCGGCAAAGTGATAAAGCTGCGGCCAAGCAATGGTTTTGCGCTTTTATAGTCTTACCATTTGAGGGTTTTTCTGTTTGTACAATGGACTCGGATTTCGGCTATTAGGCCCAAAACGCGGCCCAATTTCGTGAACTAGTTAGGGCTGCCAGTTGCACGTAAATTTATCATAATTGAATTAAGGGTAAATTCGTCCTTTGCGCAAGATTGAGGGTTATATTTCTAATTTAGTCCTAAGTTTTAAAATTCTAAATTAATAAAAATATCCTTTAATTTTGTACTTTTGAATAAAAAAATATCCCTAAATTTTTGACAATATCAATATTACCCTTAAACTTTCAAAAATATATATATATAAAATGTACTGATCATAATTTTTTTTTTTTTTTATAGAAATAGTTAGATAACTTTTAATAGTGTTTCAAAAATACTTTTTAACTTTAAAAAATTTTATTAATACCTTCAACCGTAGCACTATGTTTAAAATTTTTTATTAATACTTCTATGTTTAAAAATATCCATTAAATTTTAAAAATAACCCTCTTTTACCTTTATAAAAAAGTTAAAAAAAAGTCTTACGAATCATATCAAATCAAGAAAATAATGAAATAATGAAGTGACTGACATTGGAAAGTGATTAGAAGACTTGTCTTAGTTGGTGGTTGTTAAGGTTATTCTGTGGGCCTATTATCTTGTAAGCCTATTGAAAGGCACATCATTTTCAATTTTGAAATCATGGTGGAATACAAAAACCTTGTGGTTGAAACCCTATGGGTAGTATGTTTCTTTCAAACCTAGGTTTGATGTTTAAACCGATTCATTGAATTAGTTTTGATCAAGCTAATTCTGGACTGAGTCGTCTTGGAATCTAAGAGTGACTATCGTAGATTCCAAGTTCGACTAACCAACTCTTGGTTGGAATCAATTCGTTAAGATAGCTTTCTCTATGAACGTTTTGCAAGGATTCTAGAAGGACCTCTAGCTTTACAAAATCCAGTATGGTTGGCGCTTATCATTTGGTATCAGAACATTTGGTCGACATCTTTGGCCGGCTCTATAGGTGAAATATCTTTATTTCGTTAAGTTAGCTTTATGTGTGAAATTTTGCCAAAACTATCTATCCTCCCTCGTAAATGATTTCCGAACTTTTTAATATTATTTTTAGAGTTTATGAGTACTTTACAATAGATTCAAAGTTCGATTTTCTCCTATCAGACGTGAAAATCAACTTTAAAATTGAAAATTTAAGAATTTATTAGACACTTTAAAACTTTACGAGCCTTTTATGTTAGACACTCGGTAAAGTTCAATGACTCCTCTTCCAAAACACTCGCAAAACTAATGTATGAACAAAGCTAACTAAGAACTCAAGAATGAAAAAAAATGGTCTTCTTGCAAGAAACTAGCAATAAATTCAACTCTTCAAACATTCTACAACAAATGGGAACTTCATCTCACCTTTATATATATATAAACTTCGCAAAAGGTAGTCACAACGATCTATTCTATCGTGGTATAGTTCGATGAAACAATTAAAGTTATGCTCGAGTTGGCATTCGTACCTTCTGATGTGTGAACGGTCACAACAGGTATGATTTTTTGATACGTATGTTCAAGCTCTTGAAGTGTCACCATGATCCCTCTCAATATGCTCGACGAGGGCAACAGGATCGATGAATCCTCTGCTACACTTTGGATGCCGATACGAAAGCTCAAGCTCTTGAAGTATCCCATGATCCCTCTCAATATGCTCAACGAGGGCAATAGGATTAATAAATCCTTTGCTACACTTTGGACACCAATACGTCTGCTCAAGCTCTTGAAGTACCACCATGTTCCCTCTCAATATGCTCGACAAGGGCAATAGGATCGATAAATTCTCTGCTACACTTTGGACGCTGATACGTATGCTCTCAAGCTCTTGAAGTACCACCATGATCTCTCCCAATATGCTAGAGGAGGGCAATAGGATTTTCTGATACGTATTCTCAAGCTCTTGAAGTACCACCATGATCCTTCTCAATATGCTCGACGAGGGCAACAGGATCGATGAACCCTCTGCTACACTTTGGACACGCATCGATTACTGCCTTCTTTGCCCCAGGTCGATTGACACCGCTTTCATGGACTTTTTTTACATGCTCGACTAGAGACGAAACCATCGAAAACTTAGCACTGCATTGTGGACATTGCTCAACATGTCCATTTCCATTGCTGTTGTTGCCTGTTGCTTTCCATGAGGCTTTAAAAGACGAGGCTACATTAAGGAGGGCTGTTGTCCAATTAGAGGAAGCTGTAGTAGGCAATGCTTTCTTAGACCCATTCTCTTCTTGTTTACTTCTACTTAAAACACCAACAAAAGAAAAGCCTGCTGGTTCGGGTTTCTTCGGACCAGGACACTTATGGTCGAGACCAAAACGGTGTTTCAAACAATGGTCTACCAAGCAGTCCCGACACTTGATCGTGTTTGAAAACGTTAACGACTCCCTACAGCCAGGCACAGGGCATTTTTTCTTCTTTGTGACTTTTTCATAATTTGATGGGTCACATTCAGTGTTAACATGTATCTCCCATGTAATGTTGGGATCTTGATCTGGGACGAGACGAACTCCTTTGGCACACAGCGGACAAATGACGACGGTGACATCCCGTCTATCTGCTTTCGGACAACTATGTCTATTGTAGCTACGATGCTCCAAACAAAAGACCTAAATCAAACCAGATATTACATGAACATTAGCTAACGAAACTCGGTTATTTTTTCGATTCAAATGAAATGGCACATTCACATGACACAAATAGTATTCAGGGTTCATATGCAACAGAACTTACAGAAACCCAAATTTTAGCCTGAAATGAAAGCCATGGAGAAAAGATTCTTACAGTTAACATTGAACTATAACATGCATCAACTGGTGTGCTTAAATGGTTCAGAGATAAATTTCTTACGGGTAAAATGGACCAAACAATGCATTAGTACGTAATGGCCCAAGCCTACCGCTAACAGATATTGTCTTCTTTGGGCTTTTCCTTCCAGGCTTTCTCTCAAGGTTTTTAAAACGTGTCTGTTAAGGAGAGGTTTCCATACCCTTGTAAAGAATGCTTCGTTTTCCTCCCCAACTAATGTGGGATCTCACAGTCCACTCTCCCTTTGGGGCCAAGCGTCCTCGCTAGCACTCATTCTTTTCTCCCATCAATGTGGGACCCCCTAACCCATCCCCCTTCGAGGCTTGACGTCCTTGCACGTTGCTTGATGTCTGACTTTGATATCACTTGTAACAGCTCAAGCCCACCGCTAGTAGATATTGTCCTCTTTGGGCTTCCCCTCAAGGTTTTTAAAACACATTTGCTAGGGAGAGGTTTCCACACTCTTATAAAGAATGTTTCGTTCTCCTACCCAACTAATGTGGGATCTTACAATCCACCCCCTTTGTCCTCGCTAGCACTCGTTCCCTTCTCCAATCAATGTGAGACCCTCCAATCCACCCCCTTTGGAGCCCAGCGTCCTTGCTGGCACACCGCCTCGTGTTCACTTCCTTCAAGGTTCAGCCTCCTCGCTAGCAAATCGCCCGATGTCTAGCTTTATTCTTGAAGATATGAAATCCTGATCATAAGCTGATCAATCGATATCAAATCATAAACGGAGATCTTCCCATGGCAATCGAAAAAGAAAAGCCTATCAATCAAGGATACTCAGAAAAAAACCCCTCTAGCTTCAAACATCCGAATGGTTTATAAGAGACCAAAACACAAAACCTGAATCCAAATTCTAATGATTAAAGAGTAACACATTGAAAAAGTTCCTATGATCCAATTAGAACCTCAACTCGCAATAGTTTTTGACAATTCTCCCTTCTATTTCTCCATTAATTTCATGAACAGATTCGTTTGTGTCCTAATAGTAGAACCAGAAGAACAATAAATGCTTCATTCTTCAAGTAAAAGAATCCTCCACGCATCAGATAAACAGAAGAGCAAAATTCATCACAGCCTAAAATTTTCATCATCAGAACAACCAAAATAGAGAGAACCATTCGATCATAATCCAAGTCAAACCAAACATAAATTGCTCAATAACAACAAGAACTCATCATAAGAACCAACTCAAACAAGCCAACACATAGATTCATATAAAAATTTCAAAATGAAACAGAGAGATTCAGGAACCTGGCGACAGCAATCGCAAGTAAAGGGCAAGAAATCGATCTGCTTACAATCTTCCAAGTTGCAATGCTTCCCGAGATTAGGGAATTCCGGGGTTCCCATCCCCAAATCAAAACCGAAATGAACAACAGAGAGGTGAAGATCGTGAAATTCTGGAGGGAAAAACGAGATTCAAAAGCGAAGAGAAGAAGATTAGATGGAGATTCCGAGATTTGTTGCCAGAAACTGAGAATCTGAATTGAAATTGAAATGTGTCTGAAGCTTTAAGTTTCCGCAGATTGAGAGGAACGCGAAAACGAAAAGCTTCAGAGGAAGAGTCAATTGAGAATTTTTTTTGACCCTTCCTCAAATTTATGATTCAGATTACAGAAATTTTAGTCAAACAATAAGGAATAAATCCATTTTCTTAAAAAGGAAAGAAATTCAAAAAATTAAAAAATTACCTTTTAGATTTGGACACTATTTTGTTTCAAAAATGTCTTTAAATTTTTTTAAAATTTTCAAAAATACTTTAAATTCTTTTATAAAGTTTAAAAAAAAACATTTTAGGACTTCAATATTACACATTAAAAAACAGGAACCAGAGGGTGGAGGAGAGGAACGGCCACAAAATTCTCCATTTATTTTTGCACAGGTCCCAGATTCCCAATAAAAAAATTTATATCTACCAATATAATTTTTAAAAACTCAAATTTTAATACTATAATATAGTCTTTGACAATAAAAAAAAACGTGTGTGTCGATTGCAAACATATTATTAAACAAGATGGTGGCAAAAATTAGTTGAGGATGAGAACGGATAATATAATCTCGTCGTCGTGGTATCAGAGTCATGCCCTAAACTTAACTATGTCAATAGAATCCTCAAATATCGAACAAAGAATTATGGGCCTTGAAGGTGTAGTCAAAAGTGACTGAAGTGTCAAACTAAGGGTGTACTTTGTTCGAGGGCTCTAGAGAAAGGAGTCGAGCCTCGATTAAGGGGAGGCTATTCGAGAGCTCCATAAGCCCAAGGGAGGGTTATAGTGTACTTTGTTCGAGGGAGGATTATTGGGAATGAGTCCCACATTGATTAATTTAGTGGAAGATCATGGGTTTATAAGTAAGGAATACTATCTCCATTGGTATGGGTTTATAAGTAAGGAATACTGAGAAGCCCCACTCAAAGTGAATAATATCGTACTAATGTGGAATGAGAGCTTATACACAAAGTGGATAATATCATAGTATTTGTGGTTGAGTTGTGAAATTTCATTCATCTAACGAAAAATTATGCTTAATACCATTGTACTTGAAAAAACATTTTAGCAAGACGATAGAATAGGTTAAATTAAGGAAACATTTTAGCAAGATTAAATTACATCACAAAATTAATTTGGCTATAATAATCATTAAACTATATTTTCTTCTTGAGTTTAATTAAATTCATCATTAAATAAACATCATATAAATAATACATAGTTCCAAAGTTATTAATTTCCATTGTAACATTCTTCCTAGCTTTGATTATAAAGTAAGCGATTGATGCATTCAAAATCAAGCGTTATGCCATTGGATTCAGAAACAAAAAAAAAAAAAAAAACACAGTTCAAAGTACCAGTAAGAATCAGATAGAACACTATCCATGAATGTAAAACTCAACAGAAAGCATAAACTATGAAGTTCCTAACAAAAACATTCTTCTCTTTTTTTGAAAACATACCCCATATCTCTAAGCAACTTAAGCATTGACCCTCTCGGCATCGTCCAACAACAATGCCTTCACGGTCGGTTTTGCCAACAGATCGGTGTGCTCTTGGAATGGCGATTTCGTGAAACGAGTCTCCTTCCAGAACTCGGGTGTGAGGAAACCATAGGTTTTCAATAGACAATCGAAGGTAGCCTGCCAAAATGGAAACAATTAGAACGACAGAATACATCAAATCCAGATTTCATACAAACAGATTGAACGTTACATAGTTCATGTTCAACATTAAAATATCAAACCACATCAACCCATTTAAGAAAAGAACAATCTTTATAGATGCCTTTTCACACATATTTGCATACAATTGCACGATCAACCAATTCCATGCCATTTAATCATAAGAAAAATTTGAAGTTCTCTAATCTAAAAACATCAAAAGCGGTATCTGAACTTCACACATGAATCCAATTACTCATAAACTGTTAAGCAATTACAAATCACAGACGTATCTAAAATCTTACAAGGCTATCCAGTAGTCTGATTTAAACCACATCTTCCAGACTAAACTATTCACAACATTCAAGTGAGTTTCACATTATTGTAATAAAACGGATGAACAAACAAAGAGAAGAATCCAAAGAAAGAACAACCCAGATCAGTAAAATATCCACAACAAACCATGGGTAGACTACTACTCAAAATTTCATAAGGTTCGACTAATTACGAATCTAAATTGTAATAATGGGCACCTTAAATGTCAATCATATATTTAGCATAACAGATGAGATGGATCTTGCATCATATTATGACATACCTTCACGAAGTTTCCAAGTGTCTTGGTCGATCCCCGGGAAGAAGTGAAAACATCATCAATACCAGCAAACTGAAGCACCTTCTTGGGAACCCGTGCAGCGACAATACCAGCACCACGAGGAGCAGGGACCATACGTACAGTGACAGAGCCACACTTACCAGTGACCTTGCAAGGAACAGTATGTGGCTTTCCGATCTTGTTACCCCAATATCCCCTCCTAACAGGGATCACCGACAACTTAGCCAATATAATCGAGCCACGAATAGCTGTCGCCACCTCCTTGCTGCACTTAACTCCCAATCCGACATGGCCATTTCCGTCGCCGACGACAACGAAGGCCTTAAACCTAGTCCTCTGTCCGGCTCGGGTCTGTTTCTGCACAGGCATAATCTTCATGACCTCATCCTTGAGGCTGGGGCCGATGAGAGTATCGACGATCTGGTGCTCCTTGATTGGGAGAGAGTGAAGGTAAATCTGCTCAAGTGATTGAATCTTACCTTCCTTCACAAGACGCCCAAGCTTGGTGACTGGAACCCATTTTTCCTCTTCATCACGGCGCCCAGCGCGACGTCGTCCACGGCCACGGTCGCCACCCCGGCCTCTACCGCCGAATCCTCTGCCGAAGCCGCCTCGGTCTCCTCCTCTTTCAGCCATGATTAGGGTTAGCGCAGCGGCAAGGGAAAATAGGAGAAAGATTGGAACTTGGAGACTGTATGAAGAAAATGAAAACCCTAATGAAGAAATTTATATACGAGGCTACTACAAGTTAAGATTTGATGGGTTCACTTTTGGGGGTGTTTGGATACAGATTTAGAATGAACCGCTTTCGGCCCAAATCTAGTTCAGGCCCAACTTAAGAATCCGAACCAGTCCAGCCCATGAAAAGATAGTGACTTAGCCCAATTAAATCTAGGCCCAAACAGTCTGGCCCATAATACAATGAGATTTTCTGGCCCAAATCTAGTTCAGGCCCAGATTAATTCTTACTTTTAGGTTATTTTAAATAAATTTAGGTATTTTTTTTTCTTAAATCACTCACAAATAATATAAACTAATTCTTAAATTTATACCATTATTATTTGAGTTTAAATTATTAAAATATCAGTTAAAAAAAATTACCTGGGTAAATAAATCTTTAAACTTTTAATTTTAATTATTAGTTATTTTATTTGACTGTTTTAATTATTTTAATTATTATTATTATTATTATTATTACTTTTTTTTTAGGGCATCCACTAGTAAGCATAAAATTTCAGCTTTCTTGAACCTTCTGCTGTTCATTCTTTTTATGTATCCGTTGCAGAGCTTGAGAAGAGCTCAATTATTCCTAAATGTGGGCAACAGCAGACGGTCAAATGCAGCCGCTGCCGGACCCAACTCCGGCGACGGCGACTGAGCCCTCCCACTCTGGTCAGTCCATCCAGACGCTGGTGGTGGTGCTAGCAGTCATCATAATTTTGGGTGTCATTGCTCGGATCCTGGCTCGATTCTGCGGCGGAAACCATTCCGGCGGCGGTGGTGGTGACGGAGAAAATGACATTGAAGGTTGGGTAGAAAGAACGTGCAGGAGCTGCATTGACGGCGGCGTCGGTACTCCGCCGCCGCCGCCGCCGCCGGAAGCGGCGGAGGAGAAGAAGTGACGCAGGTAGTTATGTGTTTATTTGTAGCCAAATGGGAACTAAAGAAAATGACTCTCTATGTGCTTTGTTCTTAATTACTTTCCATTTTTCTTTAATTTTTCCCTCTAAAATATTAGAAATCTCGATCAATAAAATACGTTAAAATATCATTTTAGAAGTGTTTATATGATCTGATAGCCGATCAATCTGGGCTACCGAATCCAATTCAGGGTTAGAAAGTCTAACATTTGTTTAGGTCGGGTTAACTCGACAAACCCAAAAATAGGATTACAACCCAACCCAACCCAACCCAACCCAATTCAGTGATATTGGATGATGAAAGTCTACATTCGCTGATTTAGGGAATGATCATGAGTTTATAAACAAAGAATACTCTCTCTATTGGTATGAGGCTTTTTGGGAAGCACAAAACAAAGTCATGAGATCTTACGCTCAAACTGGACAGTATCATACCATTGTGGAGAGTCGTGTTCGTTTAACATGGTATCAGAGTCACGCCCTAAACTTAATCGTATCAATAGATTGGTAAATCTTCAAATGTCGAACAGGACTCCAAAAGAAAAGGAGTAAAGCTTTCTCGAAGGCAGTAAAAAATGACTAAGACTCTAAAAGAGTCTGAACTGAATGAGATTTTAGCTATTAACGAACATGTAGCCCATATATATCTCTACTAAATTGGCTCGAAAATACCATAAATTATTATTATTGAAGTAATTTTAATAAAAATAAAAATTAATATTTATTTAAATATAGGGATTAAAATATAATAAAATTGAAAAGGATTAAAATGATTTTTTAATATATTAAATAAATTAAATTAGAAACTTTCAAAAACTAATGATGCTATCATTTATTTAATAACTTAGTCAACAACTTATTAAAAATTAATTAATTAATTAAAAAAATTTAAAAAAAATAAGAAAATATTATAAATGAGAGAAAAGGGGAAAACTTTGGGAGTGAAGGGTCCCACTTTTGGAAAAGCGTTTATTCCTTTTGACAAGATATCCCTGTTTGTGCTACAAGGTACCATTGATGCACTTATGTGCAATCAAAATCGAACCGAACCGAAAGAATGAACGGTCATGGAAACAGGTCAATTGGTTGGTTTATTGGAGACCGCCTTGGGACGTAGCTAGTTTTATTTTCATTCTTTTCCGACCATTTGCTTCGTTTACCGTTTGTATAAGGT